TGTCCTATATTCAAAAATAAGCTATTTGTCCTTATTTAGATAAAAATAGCTGATTCGCAATAACAAGCAATAACCCACGTTGGCGTAGCGCAGTTGTTGATTTTTTTGTTTTTTTTCTGTCCATCCTCAGTGTTTTGAGTGCTTCGTCCTCGCGGTTCGATAGCATATTGGGTTTTCCTTTTCGCATCAGGGCTGGGACAACTGTTTGTCGGATGGCTTGTTTCGCATCCTCAGGTATAGTGGACGACTTGAGAGCTTGTTCCAGTTCCGCCAAGTATTCCTTGTTTGTGGCATTTCTGAAGTTGCAGTTGAGTGCTTCATTGAGGATTCGCTTTTCATCCTGTGTGATCACGCGATTGGAGAGATTATGGACCCAGTTTTCATTTTGATCGATTAGCACATTATCATCCAAATTGTGGAGCTTTCGTGAGAGTGCCAGTTTTCTTTTAATTTTGGCAATGGCTATGAATAAGCAGATTATGACCCACAAGTTCGTAATTCCATCATGTGAAGGACCCCTTGTCCAAATGCCCGGGGTGAGAATTTTCACACAGTTGGATCTACGTAACGTATTCTTCCACATGCCCATTGCGGATGACTGCAAGCACCTTACAGCTTTTCCAACATCAGACGGGCTATTTCAGTACAGGGTACTTCCAATAGGATTGAGCTCGGCACCCGCTGCCTGGCAGACGTTTGTGATACCGGCATTCTCCGGGATGCCCGATACTGCATGTACGTCAACCAATGCGCACTTGAGTGACGCGTAGCCGAAACCGATACGATTCCCGAAATAGAAATTGATCAATCCGTAATATTCTACGGTACTGAATTAGAGAAATCATTACAAAATGTATGATAAAGTAAACCTCAAATATGTGGCCAAAAGCACTCACGCAAGCAAGCCAAATATGATGTCCAGAGAGAGCCGAACAGTCACTTACGTTCTCTGACCACGCCAAATTCAAATGTGCCGGGTATCGAATTAACAGATAAAGAATAATTTATGATGTTTATGATTGAGAAATGTCAATAGAGAAGCAACACATGAATAGAGTTATATCACCCTAAATCGTCATGGGTTTGGAAGGATTTTCAAACGTTCCACTGTTGTTTACCTTGATGATATTTGTGTGTTCGGCTGTACTCAGGATCAACATGACAACGGACTCGAAGCTGTGCTTCAAAGGCTTCAGGAACTCAACTTACACCTCAATGTTCAACAGTATGCGTTCAGTGTCTATAAGTTGCAGTTTCTCTATCACAACTTGTCCCATGAAGGCGTACAACCGAGTGAAGAAAACACAACCGCTATCACGAGTGCAACTGTCCCTACTGATTCTAGACAGGTGAAGAGATTTCTTGGAATGTGTTTCTACAATATGCGTTATATACCTGATTTTCTTTCGAATGCCAAATCCTGACCACTGACCACAACGGGCGTTACCTTCTGTTGGGGAACTGAGCAAGAACATGTCTTTCGTACACTAAAATGAAAGATATCCTCTCTACTGGTCTTGGCTTTCTTTGATCCGACCTGCCAGACCTATATTACAACGGACGCCTCCGGTGTGTGGCTGGGAGCAGGTCGTTTGCAAATGCAACATGAAAAAAGGGAATGGCATGCTAAACAGCGGAAGCTCAAACGGCAATACGAGGTCAAGCTGGCAAATGGTCCCAAATACCAGCTAGAGCGATATTACCACCATGTTCAGTCTAAGTAAGGGCTCAGTGAAAATGTTGGGCCTCTGATATCGGAGGATGGAAAAGTAGTAACCAGTGGGAGGGATAAAGCAGTGCAATTTAAGGTGTCAGTCAAAAGCGAATATAGAACGGATCAACTCGGCAATACACCGTCTGGGTATTAATTGATCTGTGCAAATCCTTCCTGTAAAGCCCAGTCAATCTATCTCGGTTTCATATTTCGTGAATTTCACGTTCCATTCACTCAACACTATATGCCGCACACATACATAAACATTTGACATTCCACTCCCTTTGTATATTTACACATCGATCCGATAATTTGACTTTGTTTGTTCATCTGCTTCACTCGTACTCTACTTGTTTTAATCGCGACCTGAGCGCTCACACTTGGCTCGTTCGTGTGCAGCGTGACGGTGAGCGTGCTGTTCTTATCCAGGCTTATTTTCTTCCGTTCAGATTTGTTGAATTACGCTCCCGATAAAACGTGGCTCTTGTTTTTAAGTTGTTTCGAGATCACTTTGAGGTTTGCACAGTTTTTATTTGCTTATTTGATCGTTTAATAATGCAATACCGTAGAAACTTGCTAGATCATCCGTTTTGTTGACGATTTGGGATCCGATTTTGGCTACGCGTTACTCGTTCATCTATTCGGGAGAACAGTACTAAAACTCGCACAATTCGGAACAAGAAAATTTCGTCCGAACAAGGAAGGATATGAAGTGACCCGGAAAGTCACTGGGCAATTTGAGGGGATTCTGATTCCCACCTTTTTATTTCAGTTAGTCCTATTAGTGCTAGAAGTTTATGTGCCTTAGATTGTGATGCTGATGTTAAGATTTCTGATATATCTTCGTAAGATTGTAGAGTTAAAGCACGAAATTAGGTCGATGGAGCTCAGGGAAGCAGAAGCTAGTCAACCTTGCTCGACTAAGCACGCCGCGACGGAAAACGAACTCTGCGCATCAGACTGACACCGGAATTGGCTGAACCACCAATGGAGGTAATGTACCGCTATATGTCGGTAGACCTGCCCAAGGTGGAGCTAACTCCATTCGACGGGAACCCCAGCAACTTTTGAAGATTTATTAGAGAATTTGATAATTTCGTCGGCTGTCCGGTCGCCGATCCAGGGCAGAAATTCCTGTATCTAAAGCATTACTGCCGCGGAAAGGCCCGGGACGCTATCGAAGAATGTGTAATGCTACAAAATGAAATTGGGTATAACCGAGGAAGGGACATTCTGAAGGAACTGTTAGCCACCCGTTTCAGGTGGCACGGATGCTCATAGAAGGGGTGCTAGCCGAGTCCCTTAAAGCGAGAAACGAGCCCGAATCGTTGGTGAGACTGGCAATGAAGATGCAAAACTGCTTCATTGCCCTGAATCAAATGAATAACGAAGCTTATTTGAACGCATTACACACTCTAGAGGCAATAGTACGATGCCTGCAGGCTGACATACAACAGCGATGGGTGGAGGAGGCGGTGGTTGTTGGCAGTTTAGGAAAGGAACCGAACTTCACCGAGCTAACGGAATTTATCCAAAACCTTGTCAAGGTCGCTGGCAGTCGCCTCGGACAATTGGCCAGCATAAGTAGGCGAGAAGAGAGACTTCACACCAAAGAACAAATCTACGAGATCCCAAGAGGTTCTAGGAACGCGAACAACTATGCGCCAGTAGAGGAACGTGCACGCCTAGATGTCTCGAGTGTCGTTTAAATCACGAGGTATCCGCATACGAGAAATTTGCGCAATTAGGAGTTCCGGACCGTTGGGAAGCAGCCAAGAGGCACGCAGCATGCTTTACCTATTTGAACGGGTCACATCGTAGGAACCACAGCAGATGTGGGGAAACGGGTTGTCAAGAAAGCCACCATACCCTGCTGCATTCTATCACAACTTGTCCCATGAAGGCGTACAACCGAGTGAAGAAAACACAACCGCTATCACGAGTGCAACTGTCCCTACTGATTCTAAACAGGTGAAGAGATTTCTTGGAATGTGTTTCTACGATATGCGTTATATACCTGATTTTCTTTCGAATGCCAAATCCTGACCACTGATCAAAACGGGCGTTACTGCTGAAGTAGTTGAACCTTACGTCTTATCTACTCCTTTTCTTCATCAGCTTTTGCTGGTAGCCCCTGGTGCTAGCGTACGGGTTTTCAGTGAATAGTTCATTAGGTGAAATCCCAAAGAAACCTTTCGTAACCCTAAACGGTTATATTACATCTGCTATAGTTCACCATTTTCTAGAGAAAATAGATCGGGGCCCCTAATCTTTCCGGGTATGATTTACTCCTCTGCCCTGCTACCATTCTTGTAGCTAGTCTCCGCACTTTTTTCTAGGCAGGCGGAGTCACAGTATTCTAGATGGGGCCTTATTATTGCTTTGTACAAGGGGACAAAGATTTCCGTTTTTCTGCAGGATAGAGCAGGTCTGAACCGCAAACGTTCCCTCGTACCTTGCGAGCTGCGATTTCGCTTTGGCTGTCCCAGCTGAAATTCGAAGTCATTACTACTCCAAGATTCTTTTGCAGTTTCTACCGGTTTGACTTTGAACACTCCCCACGTACCGATGGTAACTAAGGGATCTGTTTTCTTGGTCAACAATTGACACTTGGCCGCAATCGGTGCCAAGTCCCACTTATTTGACCATTCGAACACCCGTTCAGTGTCGCTCGATAGGTTGGCACTGCCACTCAATCCCACCACCTTCACGTCATCTACGAAATCGAAACAAGGTAAGTTCATTATTTCTGCTCAGTCACTGATGAATGAATGAAAAATAACGGTCACAGAACCAAACCTGGTTGCACTCCACTGGTCAATCAAATGACCTGAGAACTGGCCTCTCCCACTCTCACATCGAAGGTTCCATTTGTGAGGAGAGCAGTTAACCACCTATGCAGATTACCTCCTAGCCCAAAGCTTTTGATTTTGGGAAGGAGCAATCTGTGGTCCACAGAGGCAAAAGGTTTGCTAAAATCAAGGTAGCAAACCTTGATGATATGGCTCTCATATAGCCTTTCTGTGACTTTATCCAGGTAGCACAGAAGATTAGTGGGACAGGATCTACGCTTGAAGAATCCACGCTGCGCCGCACTTAGTAAGGTATAACGCAGTATATGCCTAAATATGTGCTCTCTAGTCAGATTTTCTATGCATCTGCAGAGGATGCTGGTTAGGATTACTGGCCTGTAGTTTCTTACGTAGGACTTCTGGCCACCCTTGTGAAATTCTACCACATTAACTACCTTGCGGTCACTAGGCAAAAGCCCATCTGCCAGTGACATTTGGAAGAACTGATGCCAACTTGAGTCCCGGTTCTTGCACCGTAAGCGTACTGTTTGCTTATGTGTGCGTCGACAGTAAATAATCCTTTGCGGTCCAATTTTTGGGCACCTCGGTGCCAACTTGGGCAACTTTCCGGTTCAGGTGCAACTTGCGCAGCTGACACAGTATATTGCTGAAAAGGAATGCTTGAAGAAAAGGAAGAAAAGTAATGACTACAGTCTAAGTATGCACCCAGTTGAGCGGTTAGTGGGATGAGGCAATGCTATACCCTAGACGGTTTTCTACTTATGCGGGGATTCCAATATACCCAGCAGGGTGCAAGAGAAGGCTGTGCAGAAGATATAAGAATAAGCATTGAGTAAGGTGGAGTGGAAGATATGATAGGTGAGGCATTCCGAGGGGTTCTGGTTTTCGCAGATTGGCGCAAAACTAGAGTCTGTCTTCCGAGTTGCCCGAGTGCTCTTCCGTTCATCTGTGACTTCGCGTCTCCTGCGTTTATCTTTCAGGACACTAAGATATGCTCGTGAATCGATGACATACAGGTTGATGAGGCACTTTTATATGGTGGTGGTACCCATTGGATACTCTTTTGAGTATCGAGCCATCTGAGTCTGTCTACAGTACGATAGCATTGCTGACCCTGTAAGGTTCCCAGCGCAAAACGCACTAGCCTCAGTTCATCCAATGCCCCGCCTAGACCCGGTTTAGAAGGATGGCAGTGGTCGGTATGTTGCCCCTCTGTTCCCTCATCTACCAGTCCGAGCTGCAATCCGTTATTGGTTGGAACAGATGTGTGGCTTTTTTATTTCATTTAAACCTCTACCCATTGTTTCTTATTCTTTCTCTCTCTTCAACCCTTCAAGTGCATATTGGGTATAGGGTCAGTGCTCAGTTGGCGAAGTGGATGCCTCAGTGAATTGTAATTGGATTTGTTGTCCCCGACTCCGCTCACTACGGCCCTTCTGCCATTCACCTCTCAAGTTCCACGGGAGTGGACACAAGGTCCAGGGTATCGCTCAATCGGATCAGGTCACTTCAGTTCTCATAGGACGATTTGTGGCTCTTGCCAACAAGCGTGAAGATTCCTGCGTTGTCGATGTGTTTTCTTGGCTTCCAACACTTCTTTATGCACTTTTTCGGAAAGGCAGAATAGTGTGGCTTACGTCAGGTCAGGTCAGGTTCCTATGACGAAAACAGGCTTTCGCCTAACGTGTATCCAGGTTTACACACCAGTAGGATTTGGGACTTCCTCTGGTGCCACGACGTGAAAATTATTTCCGCGGATTGTGATGGTTAGGTTACATTCTGTGGTTTTGAACAGCTACCCAACGGAGCAACAATACAAGAGATTTACTTCAGGTGATACTGTTTGGTATTATATCAAAAAGGTTTACAGAGAGAGGGGTGGTAGGAATAAGAACTAGCAGTACCATTGCAGGTCTCAATTTTGCACTCAAATTAGAGACCGGCCGTTGTAACACAGTCAGCATTGACCAGCAAGGAGAGCATCGTGTCAATTTTCGTGCGATGTTTTTCCTGTATGCATCTGTGAGTTGCAATGGTGAGTGGTTTGCTGAGATAAATTTGGGTGCCTGCTGTATGGTGCACAATGTGTGAGGGCGTGATGAACTTTTCGTGCCTGTGTGCAGTAGACCTTTTTTTTCTATGAATTTTTCTTTTCTCTCAGTTTTTTATTGTTATCATGTTCTTTTTTATATTTTGGCCTCTTGAGACAACCCACAAAGGATATGTTTAGTGAAAACTGTTGTCGTGATTACCTCGCTTTGTTTATCACGTGAACGTTGGCCGAGACCAACAGGAGTGCACCGTTATTGCGTCTCCCGTTTATGTTGGCTGCTTGCAGCCTGGGCATATTGGCTACTTTTCATCTATAGACCAGTGATTGTTCAATTTGAGTCCAATAGGAGAGCACTGCTATGACGTCTAGCATTTTCGCTGGCTCATGCGGTTTGGGCATGAGGACCACTCTCCTTAGACCGCGTGATGTTTAGCTGAGGAGGACCATGCACCTCTCCTTTTTGTCCTTTTGGCTACCTAGAGGCCTCTGCTAATGATTTTAGTCTTGGCAGGGCAACAAAAAGTGTCCAGTTTGATATGCCTATGAGTAACATTTTAGGCTAAAATGGCCCACATTTGAAAGCGTTACCCTGTTGGGGTGGTTAGGAACTAAAACAATCTACCACCGTTTCCAGACCTTAACCTGTGGATCTACTTCGGGAAATAAATTCAACCAGCGTCTATAGAGTTCTTTCTTGGAAGCATGCACGCTCCCTAGCTTTACAAGTTCTTGTGGTAACGTATTTCATGAGTTGACTACCCTGTTGCTGAAAACCTTTAGACGCACCGCTAATCTCGTGCGCACTTTCTTCAGCTTGTACATGTGCTTTGCATCCGCTTAAAGAAGATTGCCTGATCCGTCCCTGGTAGACCATTCATAATTTTAAATGTTTCTATCAACTCACTTCGAAGTTTTCTTCTTTTCAAGGATGGGAGTCCAAAGTCCTGCGGTCTCCGGTGATACCACTTTCCTCGCTGTCCTGCGATCATCCTTGTGGCTAATCGTTGGACCCTCTCGAGACAAGCGGCGTCCTTTTTGAAGAAGGGAGCTCGGGCTTGTATACAATAATCTAAATGCGGTCGAACATTGGTATTGTATACAATGGTATTGTATTGTATGTATATTGTTTGTGTGGTATTGTATTGTATGGTATAGTACGAATACCTCCGGTTTCCTTCATGTTAGTGCCGATCTCAATCTAAAAAGCTCTCTACGGGCACGTTGCGCCGCTGCGGCACATGGTTCTGCTCATTTTTAGTCTGCGGCCACTATGATTTCTTGTTCTCTATCTTTCTGTGTCATTCCTAGTAAAAGACTGCCATGACTACTCTCCACTATCAGACCCTCGTCTCCAGTGATCAAGACATGGCACTTTTCTATGTCGAGAGGCAAAACCCGTGTACTTGACCACTTGAGCACTTCTTCTGTCTCTCGTTAATTCCGCTCTCCCATTTGATCCTATAACCTTGACATTGTCTGCTAATATATATAGCTAGAGGGACCAAGGCGTTCAGGAAGATCATTGATGTACAGTAAGAAAAGATGTGGGCCTAGAACTCATCCTTGAGGAACACCACTAGCAATAGTTTCCACTGGCGAGTTCGCTTCTCCGACCCGAATCTCGAAGGTCCGATCAATCAAGAAAGCTGTCAATCACTTTTTGATATTACCCGTTATCCCTAGAGCATCTTGGCCAAAAGTAAGCGATTACATACTGAGTCAAATGCTTTGCTATGGTCCAGATAGCGTACTTCCACTTCCTTAGCCTCATCCAATCTCGCTGTGACTTCATCCAAAACGTGCAACAGATTGCTGAGACAGGATTTCCCCTTCAGGAACTCAT